GTTGCAATCCATGTGATTAGTCAGCTGTGCTGATGAAGACTGGCCAAATACTGGTCCTACTCCTTTTACCATTGGCTGGGAAATGTTGAATATATGAACTTTTCTCCTCCTTTACTGCCAACAACTAATTGCAATAACTGAGAAAATTTACAATGGAAAAAGGGCCCATGAATTCATAAAGAAGCATATAAAAAGACAGGTTTGGTGTCAAATAGAACTGACTTTGTGAATTCCGACACTGGCTGTGTGGCCCTAGACAAGTTACTCACCCTTTGGAACCTCTTTTTCCACTTCTGTAAAGTACAGACAATTATATGTTCCTATTTTTTAAAAAATTGAACTCAGCTTTACCACTGAGTTATATCCACAGCCCTTTAAATTTTTTTTTCAATTGTAGGTGTACACAATACCTTTGTGTTTTTGATTTATTTTTATGTGTGCTGGGGATGGAACCCAGTGCCTCACACATGCTAGCTAAGTGCTCTACCTCTGAGCCACAACCCCAGTGCCCCCAGCCCTTTTTTAAAATTTTGAGATATGGTCTAAATTGCTTAGGGACTTGCTAAATTTCCCAGACTACTTTCAAAATTGGGATCCTCCTGCCTCAGCCTTCAAATTGCTGGAATTACAGGCATGTACCACCACACCAGAAATATGTCCCTTTAGTAGTATTTGGTTTGAAGCAGCTATTTAATGATTAGTAACTATTCTGGTGTGTTAAATAAGATTTTTAACATCTACTACATCTGAATCACATAAAGAAAATACATGGGGCTTGAGGTGTTGTTCAGTGGTAGAGCACTTGGCTAGCAGAATTGAGGTACTGGGTTCAACTTCCAGTACCCGCCTCACACACACACACACACACACAATAATAAAATACACACAATAAACCATGATTCTTTCCTCCACAATGTTTACATTCTATCTAGGGAGATGAGTCAGGCATAAAATATGTTCAATAAGATACAATGTTATTGGGCTTCAATGGTAGCTCAGAAGAAGAGTAGTTCGTTTACACAGTGAGGCAATGGGTTCCATCCTTAACACCACATAAAAATAAAATAAAGGTATTGTGCCCATCTACAACTAAAAAAATACTTTTAAAAAGATACAATGTTATCATTCAAATGAGAGATATAAAACTAATATTAGCAACCATTTATTGAGTGCTTACAATAAGTTAGGCAGTATACTAAGTGCTTTATAATCCTCTCATTTAATTTGGCAACCTTCCTCTTAGAAAGTACTATTTTTGTCTAAGGCCTTACCACACTGAATGTGCCTGATCTCAAAAGCTAAGAGGGTCAGCCTTGGCTCGTACTTGCATAGAAGAAAGTATAGGTGTGGTGGTGACACACCTGTAGTTCCAGCAGTGGGGAAGCTGAGAGGATCACTTGAGTCCTGCAGTTGGAGAGCAGCTTGGGCAACAATGAGATACTAGGTTTCAAAACCAAAAATTCTATTATTATCTCTTTATAAAAGAGGAAGCTGAGGCTCAGAAAGGGGAAATGAATTGCCCAAGGTTGCACAGGTGGGTGGGGCAGAGTGCAGGGGTGAACCCCATTCTAAGCTCTAGGATTTATATTCTTATGAAAGTAACCAATTCCTATAATTTAGGGATTGTCTAGGTTTAACCATATTATTCACACATTTCCTATCTATCCTTTTTTTCTTTTTTTTTTTTAAGTACTACCCAAGCCATTCAAGGTAGGAATCTAGACACTGGTGACTATCCTCTCTTTTCTCTCTCTGGTTAGTCATTAAATCATTCTCTAATTTACATTTCGAAATCTTTTTCTCATAGTTATCTCAGCCAGAGTGGATCACAGCTCTCCAGGCTGTCTTCCTAAGTTTTTCCCCACATTGCAGCTAAGATGATCTTTTCATTTTTATTTTATTTTTTTATATTTATTTTTTCATTGTAGTTGGACACAATACCTTTATTTTATTTATTCATTTTTATGTGGTGCTGAGGATTGAACCCAGAGCCTCGCACGTGCGAGGTGAGCACTCTACTACTGAGCCATAACCCCAGCCCTTCATTTTTATTTTTAAGTTCTTGTTTTTGTTTATTAGTATTGATCCCAGAGTGTGAGCCAGATTCCCCAGCTCCTCCCCCCATTTTGAGACAGGATCTCGCTGAGTTGCTTAGGGCCATGATAAGTTGCTGAGGCTGGCTTTGAACTTGGGATCCTCCTGCTTCAGCCTCCCAAGTTGCTGGCATTACAGTCATGTACCACTGCACCTGGCTAGGGTGATTTTATATATATATTTGTAGACAGACAACAATAACTTTAATTATTTTATGTGGTGCTGAGGATCAAATCCAGTGTTTCACATATGCTAGGCAAATACTCTACCAACTGAGCTACAACCCCAGCCCCAAAGGTGATCTTTTTAAAGCTCACATCTGATCTTTAGTTTGGTATGTAAAGTCCTCCAAGATCTGGACCTTATTCCTCTTCCATTTCTTTTTTTTTTTAATATTTCTTTTTTTGGTTGTTGATGGGTCTTTATTTATGTGTATGCGGTGCTGAGACTCGAACCCAGTGCCTCATGCATGCTAGGCAAGCGTGTTACCACTTAGCCATACTTCCTCTTCCTCTTCCATTTCTTACTCCTTCTTACCTCAGATTCTACAGCCTAATTCTACTTAATTTGGTGTCATCTGGTAATGCTGTTTCCATCACCTGCAATTTCCTTTCTTCCCTTTTAATCTAGTTAACACTTGTTATGACACCATCAAGTTACTTTGTGCATTAATGACCTTTTCCAGGAAGACTTCCCTGATGCCCTCAGGATGGCTGAAGTGTCCTACTTGCTTCCAAAACAGCTGGCCTGTTTATATCTCATTACCCAATTGTATCAATTCACATGGTACTGTTTCCTTAGTATAACTCTGCTTCCTACTAACCTGCTGATCAACTCTTTTGAATGCATAGCTGGAGTCCACACTTAAAATGAACATCTAACTTTTGAAAGTCAACTGTGTCCAGTTTAAAAAAAAAAAAAAAAGAATCCTGGCAGTTGATGAAGCAGGTGTATAATGACAGATTCTGGAGATGGAGGCAGAAGGATAGCAAGTTTGAGGTCAGCCTCAGCAATTTAGTGGGACCCTGTCTCATAATAAAAAATAAAAGGTGCTGGGGTGTAATCAGCTGAAGACAGCAAGTGCTCACGCCTGTAATCCCCACAACTCTGGAGGTTGAGGCAGGAGGATCACAAATTCAAGGCCAGTCTCAGCAACACAGTGGAGGTCCTGAGCAATTTAGTGAGATGCTGTCCCAAAATAAAAACAATTAACAAGGCTTAGGGTTAGGGCTGAGGTTGTAGCTCAGTTGATAGAGCACTTGCCTAGCACATTGAGGCACTGAGTTCGATCATCAGCACCGCATAAAAATAAATAAAAACAAGGGTGTTTTAAAAAAAGGCTTGGCGATATAGCTCAGTGGTAAAGCATTCTTGAGTTCAATCCCCAGTACTAAAAAAAATAAATTTAATTAATAATTAATTAATTAACTATTTTAATTAAAAAATAAAAATAAATAAAAGGTTTGGGGATGTAGCTCAGTGAAAAGCACCCCTGGGTCCAATCCTAGTACTGGAAAAAAAATAATAATAATAAAGGTGGAGGGAGGCTGTATAGAGAAAGGAAACCAGAGCTAGAGTTAAAAGTGTCAGTATAGTATAGTCCCAAAGAGGATGGACCAATAAACTGCTTGATTTGTATCCCAGCCTCTCTACTCCCTTGCATGTAATTTAACATCTGTTGTCTAAGTTTTCCCACTGTACCACTATTAATAGTGGCACTTGATTCATAGGGTTTCTGTGAGGATCATTAAATTTTGGAAATTTTGTTTGGGCTCTAGGGATTGAACCCAGAAGCACTTTACCACTGAGCTACATCCCCCTTCCTTTTTATTTGAGACAAGGTTTCCCTAAGTTGCCCAGGCTGGCCTCAAATTTGTGATCCTCCTGCATCAGTCTCATGAGTTGCTGGGATTAAAAGTCTAGGCCACCTGGGCTGGCTTTACTTTTACATTAACTATGCGAGACATTATTTGTTAATCACTGAATTTTTTAGTATCCTTTTAATTTCTGCACTTCAAGTGAATGCTTCATTCATCTTTCCCTAATCTCTGCTCCCTCCACACTTTATGTGCTTGACGTTAGCAGAGTTCAATAAATGTTGAATTTACAACCCCCACCCCATATTTTTTATTTATTTTTGAGCCTGAGTTGTCTTATATCGCCCAGGCTGGCCTCAAACCATGGGCTCAAGCCACCCCATCTCAGCCTCCTGAGTAGTTACAGGTGCACGCCACGCCCCAGTATTTTAAAATTGAGGTTAATATCCATAGCAAAGTGAAAAAAAAAAGGATATTGCTGAGATCCCAGTTGCTCACAACATTATGCTAAGCAATATAGGGCGTCTTCCTTTTCACCTTCAGGTATCTAATAAAAAGAGGTCTTTGTTTTATAACATTCTCCCCTTCTCTTCGTGAAGCTCCCTTTCTTGTCCGAGTCAGCGTTTCTGCGATCAAAGTTTAAACGTAAGTTCTTTCTTCCCTTCTGCCAGTTCCAAGAGATCTCCTACACAAAAACATCTCTGGGTCATCGAACTTGGAAAAAAATAAATATTTTCTTGGATGAGGACCTATGACGTCAAGCTTCCTCAGCCACCACAGAGCAGTTACTGTACAAACCAGTGCCGCATGTTTGCGCATGCGTTTCCGCTTGCCCGCAAAGAAACAATTTCTGACCCTCTCGGCACCCTTACGTCGCAAGGCGGCAGTGTCTCGCCTCGTTTGCGCGACGTCGGCTTCCTGCCGGAAGTGGGAAGAGGAGGAGGCGGGGCGGTTATGCTCGTGGTGTGTTTTGCTAGGCTCCTGTGCTCTGAGGTCTGGGGAATAATTGTCGCTCAAAGGCTCTGCGGGTGGAGCGCGGGCGGAGGTGTGTTTCTCCAGTGTAAGTGCACACGTCCAGGATGCCGGCTTAGGACGATCTGTACTATCATTTTATAAAAGAATTTTATGCTTCCGCGAGGCTCTCTCCTACTCGGCCGCAGGCTCTGCCACTGACTTGATGCGTACTGTGACTTGCCTTGTATCCCTCTCCGTGTCTCTGTGTCTAATCTGTAAAATGAAGGGAAGACAAGATCCCTAAAGTCACTTTTCAGGTTTTCCGAATGTAATTGAATGTCTGTTATGTCTTTTGAGCCACGTAGTCCGGAGGGTTAGTATCCTTGACCCCATTTTATAGGGAAAAGACGGTGAGAGGTTACGTGACTTCCTCAAGATTGAACAGATACCTTTTTGAGGTTTTAGAACTTGAAACTAGAATGTTACTCTGTAACTCCATGGTCAAATTTTCTTTGTATATTTCTATATCGTCAGTTCCTGGAACTGGCCACATAAGGGGATACTCAAAAAGTTTTGAATGAGTTAATCTTGATTCCAGGGCCAATGCCATGCAAACCTGGTATCTCTCCATCTCTGATGTATAAACAAATGTTACTTTTCCAGGGTATCCTGTGCCTTACCTTACTGGGTGCTCTGAGTCCAGTTCTGTAGTCTTCAATTAATCAGACAGACACCATGGAGGCACCCCCAGTTACCATGATGCCTGTTACTGGGGGCACCATTAACATGATGGAGTACCTGCTTCAGGGTAAGTAAACCAGAAAGCTGGGATTACCTGCTTTCCTCTTTTCAGCTTCTGTGGATATGAAAGACTTACACAAAGGTAACCTGCATAATTTCTGACACTCAGCAGACAATTTCCATCCCCTGCAGTGCTGGGGATTGAACACTGAACCTCATGCATGGTAGACAACCTCTACCCCAGCTCCTTATTTTTTAAATTATTTTAAACTTAAAATTATGGTTTCAAGGGGCTGGGGTCCTGACTTAGCAGTAGAGCGCTCACTTAGCACATGTGGAATGCTGGGTTTGATCCTCAGCACCACATAAAAATAAAATAAAGGTGTTGTGTCCAACTACAACTAAAACAATATTTTAAAAATATGGTTTCAAATGCATTAAGCACTATAAATTTGCCAGTATAACATTTGAAATGTTGCACCTCATATCTGTTGAACTTTTTCATCTTGCAAATCTGAAACTCTATACCCATTAAATACTAATTTCCCCTCTCTTCTACTCCCAGGCGTTAGCAACTATCTTTCTACTTTCTCATTTCAAATATCTTAGATACCTCATATGAGTGGGATAATACAGTATTTGTCTTTTTGTGACTGACATATTTCATTTAGCGTAATGTACTTGGGATTCATCCATTTTATGATATAGGACAGAATCAATCTCCATATCTATCTAGCTCTCTCGCTTTCTCGCTCTCTCCCTCTTTTTTCCATACTGGAGATTCAACCCAGGGACTTACTCATGTGAGGCAAGTTCTATACCCTGAGCTACAACCCCAGCCCTTTTAAAATTTTTTATTTTGAGACAGGGTCTTTCTAAATTCCTCAGGCTGCTCTTGAACTTGCCATCCTTCTTTGTATTACCCTTCCTTAACTTCTCAAGTAGCTGGGATTACAGGGATTTGTCACCACACCTGGCCAGAATAACCTTTTTTTTTAGTTGTAGTTGGACACAATATCTTTTCATTTTATTTATTTATTTTTATGTGTTGCTGAGGATCAAACCCAGCTGCCTCACATGTGCTAGGCAAGCGCTCTACCTCTGAGCCCCAGCCCCAGCCCCTGTGCTTTTTTCTTTTTGGTACCAGGGATTGAACCCAGGGGTGCTTAACCACTGAGCCACATACCCTTTTGTATATTTTATTTAGAGATAGGGTCAGCAATAAAAGAGAATAAAACTATGGTATTTGCAGGTAAATAGATGGAGTTAGAGAATATAATGAGGCTGGCTGGGTTGATGGCTCATGACTATAATCCCAGTGACTCGGGAGGCTGAGGCAAGAGGATTATGAGTTTAAAGCCAGCCTCAGCAATTTAGTGAAGCCCTAAGCAATGCAGTGAGACCCTGTCTCTAATAAAATATAAAAAAGGGCTGGGGATGGGACTTAGTGGTTAAGAACCCCTGGGTTCATTTTTCAGTACCTGCCCCCTTAAAAAAAAATTGCTGAGGCTGGCGTTGAACTCACAATCTTCCTATCTCAGTTTCCTGAGCCATAGGGATTCCAGGTGTGTGGCACTGTGCCTGGCTTTATTGTGGTTTTGATTTATATTTCTCTAGTGGTTAGTGATATCGAACCTCTTATATGCTTGTAGGCCATTTGTATGTCTTCTTTGCAGAATTGTCTATTTAGTCTTTGCCTACTGTTCCTTTTTTTTGGTCCAACAGCTAGCATATGATTGTATTTATTTAAATTATTTATTTATTCTAATTTATTATATGATGGCAGAATGCATTACATTTCATATTACACATATAGAGCACAAATTTTCAAGTCACTGGTTGTACATAAAGTATTTTCACACCATTCGTGTCTTCATACATGTACTTAGGGTAGTGATGTCTAATTCATTCCACCTGCTTTCCTATCCCCACGCCCCCTCTCTTCCCCCTCCCTCCCCTTTGTCCTATCTAAAGTTCCTCCATTCCTCTCATGCTCCCCCCCATCACCATTATGATTCAGTATCCTCATATCAAAGAAAACATTCGGCCTTTGGTTTTTTTCACTTAGCATTATATTCTCTAACTCCATCCATTTACCTGCAAATGCCATGATTTTATTCTCTTAATGCTGAGTAATATTCCATTGTGTATATATACCAAAGTTTGCCATCATGTAGTAAATTAGAATAAATAAATAATTTAAATAAATAAATAAAATCATATGCTAGCTGTTGGACCAAAAAAAAAAGAACAGTAGGCAAAGGCTAAATAGACAATTCTGCAAAGAAGACATACAAATGGCCTACAAGCATATGAGAGGTTCGATATCACTAATCACTAGAGAAGGGAATCTGGGTTGGTTCCACAATTTAGCCATTTTGAATTGTGTTGCTAGAAACATTGATGTGGCTGTGTCCCTGTAGCATGCTGTTTTTTAAGTCCCTTGGGTATAAACTGAGGATAGCTAGGTCAAACGGTGGTTCCATTCCAAGTTTTCCAAGGATTCTCTGTACTGCTTTCCAGATTGGCTGCACCAATTTGCAGTCCCACCAGCAATGTATGAGTGTGCCTTTTCCCTCACATCCTTGCCAACACTTACTGTTGTTTGTATTCTTGATAGTTACCATTCTGACTAGAGTAAGATGAAAGTTTTGGTTTTCATTTCTCTAATTGCTAGAGATGTTGAACATTTTTTCATATATTTGTTGATTGATTGTATGTCCTCTTCTGAGAAGTGTCTGTTCAGTTCCTTGGTCCATTTATTGATTGGGTTATTTGTTTTTCTGGTGTTAAGGTTTTTGAGTGCTTTATATATCCTACAGATTAGTGCTTTATCTGATATGTTTGTGGTAAAGATTTGCTCCCATTCTGTAGGTTCTCTATTCACCTCACTGGTTGTTTCTTTTGCTGAGACGAAGCTTTTTAGTTTGAATCCATCCCATTTATTGACTCTTGGTTTTAATTCTTATGCATTAGGAGTCTTATTAAGGAAGCTGGGGCCTAATCTGACATGATTGAGATTTAGGTCTACCTGTTCTTCTATTTGGTGCAAGGTCTCTGGTTTAATTCTTAGGTCCTTAATCCACTTTGAGTTGAGTTTTGTGCATGGTGAGAGATAGAGGTTTAATTTCATTTTGTTACATGTGGATTTCCAGTTTTCTCAGCACCATTTGTCGAAGAGGCTATCTTTTCTCCAATATATGTTTTTGGCGCCTTTGTCTAATATGAGATAACTGTAATTATGTAGGTTTGTCTTTGTGTCCTCTATTCTGTTCCATTGGTCTACAGGTCTGTTTTGGTGCCAATACCATGCTGTTTTTGTTACTATTCCTCTGTAGTATAGTTTAAGGTCTAGAATAGTAATGCCACCAGCTTTATTCTTCTTGCTAAGAATTGCTTTGGCTATTCTGGGTCTCTTATTTTTCCCAGATGAATTTCATAATTGCTTTTTCTATTTCTATGAGGAGTGTCATTGGGATTTTGATTGGGATTGCATTGAATCTGTATAGTGCTTTTGGTAGTATGGTCATTTTGGCAATATTAATTCTGCCTATCCAAGGACAAGATAGATCCTTCCATCTTCTAAAGTCTTCTTTAATTTCTTTCTTTAGCATTCTGTAGTTTTCATTGTAGAGGTATTTCACCTCTTTCGTTGATTTGCAAGTATTTCTTTTTTTCCTTTTTGAAGCTATTGTAAATGGGGTGGTTTTCCTAGTTTCTCTTTCTGAGGATTTGTCATTTATGTACAGAAATGCTTTTGATTTATGGGTGTTGATTTTATATCCTGCTACTTTGCTGAATTCATTTATTAGTTCTAGAAGATTCCTGGTGGAATATTTTGGGTCTTCTAGGTATAGAATCATCGTTGGCAAATAGAAATAATTTGAGTTCTTCTTTTCCTATCCATATCCTTTTAATTTCTTTCATCTGTCTAATTGCACTGGCTAGAGTTTCAAGAACTGTGTTAAATAGAAGTGTTGGGCATCCCTGTCTTGCTCCAGTTTTTAGAGGGAATGCTTTCAATTTTTCTCCATTTAGAATGATGTTGGCCTGGGGCTTTGCATAGATAGCTTTTACAATGTTGTATTCCTGACATCCCTGTTTTTCTAGTGTTTTGAACATGAAGGGGTGCTGTATTTTGTCAAATCCTTTCTCTGCATCTATTGAGATGATCATATGATTTTTATCTTTGAGTCTATTGATGTGACGAATTACATTTATTGATTTCCGTATGTTGAACCAACCTTGCATCCCTTGGATGAACCCTACTTGATCGTGGTGCATTATCTTTTGATATGCTTTTGTTGTTTTCAGTTTGCCAAAATTTTATTGAGAATTTTTGCATCTATCTTCATTAGAGATATTGTTCTGAGTTTTCTTTCTTTGATGTGTCTTTGTCTTTGTCTGATTTTGGAATCAGGTGACATTGGCCTCATGGAATGAGTTTGGAAGTGTTCCCTCTTTTTCTATTTCATGAAATAGTTTGAGGAGTATTGGTGTTAGTTCTTCTTTAAAGGTCTTGTAGAACTCAGCTGTGTATCCATGTAGTCCTGGGCTTTTCTTGGTTGGTGGTGTCCTCTATTTCCTTGCTTGAAATTGTGTATATAATCCTGATTTAGTTTGGGTATATCATATGCCTCTAGAAATTTGTTGATGCCTTTGATATTTTCTGTTTCATTAGAGGACATATTTTCAAAATAATTTCTGTAGTGTCCGTTGAGATATTTCCTTTCTCATCATGGATGTTAGTAATCTGAATTTTCTCTTTCCTTCTCCTCGTTAGCATGGCTAATGGTTTATCATTTTTATTTATTTTTTCAAAGCACTAATTTTTTGTTTTGTCAATATTTTCAATTGTTTCTTTTGTTTCAATTTCATTGATTTCATCTCTAATTTAATTATTTCCTGTCTTCTACTGCTTTTGAAATTGATTTGTTTTTCTTTTTCTAGGGTTTTGAGTTGTAATGTTAGGTCATTTATTTGTTGACATTTTCTTCTTTGAAGGAATGAACTCCGTGAAATGAATTTTCCTCTTTAAACTGTTTTCATACTGTCCCAGAGATTTCGATATGTTGTATCAGTGTCTCATTTACCTCGAAGAATTTTTTAATCTCCTCCTTGATATCTTTTGCAATCCATTGTTCATTCAGTAGCATTTTATTCAGTCTCCAGGTATCAGAGTAGCTTTTATTTTTTTATTTTATCATTGATTTCTAATTTCATTCCATTACGGTCTGGTAGAATGCAGGGTAGTAACTCTACTTTTTTGTATTTACTAAGAGTTGCTTTGTGGCATAATATATGGTCTATTTTAGAGAAGGATCCATGTGCTGCTGAGAAGAAAATATATTTGCTCGTTGATGGATAATATATTCTATTATATGTCAGTTAAGTCTGAGTTATTGATTTATTATTGAGTTCTATAGTTTCTTTGTTTAGCTTTTGTTTGGAAGATCTATCCAGTGGTGAAAAAGGTATGCTAAAGTCACCCAGAATTATTGTGTTGTGGTCTCTTTGACTCTTGAACATAGATAGAGGCTCCATTGAAATGTGGATTAGGTGGATATAGGGCATGTATATTTATAACTGTTATGTCTTGTTGATGTATGGTTCCCTTAAGCAGTATGAAATGTCCATTTTTTTTTAAAGGTGGACACAATATCTTTATTTTATTTTTATGTGGTGCTGAGGATCGAACCCAGTGCCAGGCGAGCACACTACCACTTGAGCCACAACCCCAGCTCCTGAAAAGACCATCTTTATCCCTTTTGGTTAACTTGGGCTTGAAGTATACTTTATTTGATATGAGAATGGAAACCCCTGCTTGTTTATGAAGATCATGTGAATGGTATATTTTATCCCAACCTTTCACCTTCAGTCTGTGAACATCTTTTCCTATGAGTTGAGACTATTGAAGGCAGCATATTGGTGGGTCTTTTTTTTAATCCAGTCTAGCAGTATTTTGGTTGGTGAGTTTAGGCCATTAACTTTCAGGTTTATTATTGAGACATGATTTGTATTTCCAGTCATTTTTGTTTATTTTTGCATTTAACTTGACTTGGTTTCTCCTTTGATTGGCTTTTCCTTTATTATAGTTCTTCCCTCTGCAAATTTTCATTGTTGTTTTTCATTTCCTCCTTGTGGAATATTTTGCCAAGAATGTTCTGTAGTGCAGGCTTTCTTGCTGTAAATTCTTTGCTAAGTTGCTGAGGCTGGCTTTGAACTTGCAATCCTCCTGCCTCAGCCTCCTGAGTTGCTAGGATTTTAGGTTTGTGCCACCACACCCTGCTCCTAACACACATCTTCACCCTAACCTGTTCAATATCAAACTGTTGATTTTTCCACCTCAAAATCTTATTTCTCCTGTAGTCTTCCCATCAAAGTAAATGGCAACTCTCAGCTTTCATCTTCCCAGGCCAAAAACCATGGAGTCATCTTTGACTTCTTTCTCCAACATCCTATATCCACCTAATCCACATTTCTAAAACAAAAGCAAAATCCACCTTTCACCCCCTTGATCATTTCTACCTGGTCCAACTTGCTTTCATTTTTTTGCCTTGCCTTTGCAGTAACCTGTCTCCACCTTTGCCTTTTTTTTTTTTTTTTTTTTTAATGTGGTCTTGCTGTGTTGCCTAAGTTGGCTTTGAATTCCTGAGTTCAAGTGATCCTTCTACCTCCTTAATAAGTGGGACTATAGGCATGTGCCATCATGCCTGGTTCATCAACCTCGTCTTCTTTAATCTACACAATAGGCAAGTGGTCTTTTTTAAAATATAAGGCAAATATGAAAAATAAATAAATAAAATATAAGGCAAATAAATCCTCTGCTCAGAACCCTCCAGTTTCCTATGTGATTTAAAATAAAATATAATCTAGACCATTTTCTCCAAGATCCTACATATTATGTTCTCTGTTATCTGTCCAACATTATCTCTTCCCACTTTCCCCCTTGATCAGTCTCTTTAGCCAGAATGACATGCCTACTATTGTCTGAAAATAACAAGTATTTGGCAATGTATTTCTCTTATCCCTTATGCTAAAAATGTTCTTCCTTCATATATTCCCAACACTTTCTTTAGATCACTACAAAATGTTACTATATTGCAAAAACTAACAGTAAGATTCAAAAGACTGAATATTTGAAAACAAACAGGGTTCTAAGTATAGCAATGGACTACCAGGTCCTGGTAAGCATGTGATTGAAGATTTATTTAAGAGTTGTGCCAGGGCACACTGTGCTAGGCAGTAGGAGGCCCTGACCTTACAGAGATTACAGTTTATTAGAGAAAACAAAAAATAAAAAAGTAAATAAAAAAATAGAAATACAAGGAAATAAAAGGTAGATGATAGAATAATTGGTGGGGAAGGTTGGGGGAAAACCGAACTGAGGGGCTGGAGTGGTCAGAAAAGGTCTAAGTAGATGAACCTGTGCTGAGATCCAAAGGATGAAAATGAGATGATTAGGGAAAAGAGTTGTCAGGGCAGAGGGATGATCAAATGCAAAGACCACGAGGCAGGAAAGAGCTTGGCAGATTCAAGGAAATGAAAGTAATATTTAAAAGTCATTATGAGGGCTAGGGCTATAGCTCAGTGACAGAGTGCTTGCCTAGCACATTGAAGCACTGGGTTTGATCCTCAGCACCACATAAAAATAAACAAATAAAATAAAGGCATTCTGTCCATCTACAACTACAAAAAATAATAATAATAAAAAAAAAGATAATTATGAAACCTGGGATCATCTAAGCAACTTAGTGAGACCCTGTCTCAAAATAAAAATAAAAAGTTCTAGGGATGGGGCTCAGTATTAAGTGCCCTTGGGTTCAATCCCTGGAAACAACAACAACAAAAATGTATGTTAGGCATCCAAATGGAAAAATCGAGTAGACAGTTTGGATATATGAGTCTACAGTTCATGATTTAAATGTGGGAGTCTCAAGAAATAAAATAGTATTTAAAGCTATGGGATCAACTCAGGTCACCAAGGAAGGAAGAGACTTATTTTGGAGGAAGTGGGTGTTTGGTGTTTTTTTGTTTGTTTGGTACCAGGGCTTGAACGCAGGGGTGATTTACTACTAAACTACATCCCTGGCCCTTTTTTATTTTTAAATTTTGAGATAGGGTCTCACTAAGTTGCTGAGGCCCTCACTAAGTTGCTGAGGCTAACCTTGAACTTGTGATCCTTTGCCTCAGCCTCCTGAATTGCTGGGATTATGGGCATGTGCCACCATGCCTAGCAAAGAGACTATTGATAGAGAAAAGGACCAGGAATGAGTTGTAGGACCTTCCATCATTTAGGCAAGATGAAGAGATTAAGCAGAGAAAACTTAAAGGAATAGTCACTGAGTTAGGTGAAGAACCAAGAGTGATTTGTGTCCTAAAGGCCAAGGGTATAATTTGTAACAACTGTGTTAAATGTTGCCAGAAGGATGAATAAATGAAGACTAAGATTAATGTTTTTATGAAGCAGTTCATTGTCTTTTCAAAAAATATATAAAATGGAAATTTTAGAGCTGGGGATGTGGCTCAGTGGTAGAGCGCTTGCCTAGCATGTACAAGGCCCTGGGTTCAATCTTTAATCCCCAGCATCACAAAAGGGAAAAAAAAAAAGAAACTTTATATGTTCTTACATAAATGGAAGATTTATGGGGCTGGAGTTATAGTTCAGTGGTAGAGCACTTGCCTAGCATGCAGTGAAGCCCCGAGTTCAGTACCCAGCACTATACACACACACACACACACACACACGCATGCACAAAACAAAACAAAACTTGCTGGAAATAGCAGATAATTGTGGCCAGGGGTATAGCTCAGTGATAGAGCACTTGCTTAGCATGAGTGGGGCCCTGGGTTTACTCCCCAACACCAAAAAAGAAAAAAAAATCAATCCCACAAATATGATTGTTAAAATAAACGACATTCTCACCGTTGTCTTTTAAAGGCTCTGAGGCCAAGGAGCAAGAACTTCTGGACATTAGCATTTCTAGGGAGATCCTAAAGAAAGGGAAATAACTTTCTCACAATGTTATACAATAGCTTGGCAATATAACTCCTTATATATTAGGCCTGTGTTTTACATAGTACTACACTAAACTGTTGGGTTTTTCATTTAAGATTTTTGTTTTATTTTTTTAAATAATCCTTTGCTAATTCTTTGACCCAAAATGAAAGCTGAGATTTAATAGTGCTTTTTCCCTCTTTAGGAAGTGTTTTAGACCACAGTTTGGAAAGCCTTATCCACCGCCTTCGTGGTTTATGTGACAACATGGAACCTGAAACTTTCCTTGACCATGAGATGGTATTCCTCCTGAAGGGCCAGCAAGCCAGCCCATTTGTCCTGAGGGCCCGGCGCTCTATGGATAGAGCAGGGGCACCCTGGCATCTGCGTTACCTGGGACAGCCAGAAATGGGAGACAAGAACCGATACGCTTTGGTGCGAAACTGTGTGGACATTGCCACATCTGAAAACCTCACAGATTTCTTGATGGAAATGGGCTTCCGCATGGACCATGAGTTTGTTGCCAAGGGACACTTGTTTCGTAAGGGCATTATGAAGATTATGGTATACAAGATTTTCCGCATCCTGGTGCCAGGGAACACAGACAGCACTGAAGCCTTGTCGCTCTCCTATCTTGTGGAATTAAGTGTTGTTGCACCAGCCGGGCAGGACGTGGTCTCTGATGACATGAGGAACTTTGCTGAGCAGCTGAAACCTCTGGTTCACCTGGAGAAAATAGACCCCAAAAGGCTCATGTGACTAAGACAGTCTGTCCTCATATGTTAGAAAAAAGATGTTATAAATGCCCCAGTTTACCACTGCCAGCCAGGTGTTGCTCAGGAAGGACAGTGAGAATTTGCTTGGTTCTTTGCAGTGTATTCCTCGTGAGGTTTCACATTCATGGCAGCCTTTTTATTTAAAAATTTTTTTTTTTTATTTTTTGGTACTTGGAACTGAACCTAGGGACGCTTAACCACTGAGCCATATTCTCAGCCCTTTTTTGTATTTTATTTAGAAACAGGGTCTTGCTGAGTTGCTTAGGGTCTCCCTAAGGTTGCTGAGGCTGGCTTTGAACTTGGTATCTTCCTGCCTCAGCCTCCCAAACCGCTGGGATTACACGTGTGTGTCACCACACCCAACCATGGCAGCCTTTTTAAATTAAAGGCTCAGGATAACACAGAATATGTCTAATCCCTCTGCATAAAGAAGGGAAACTGGGACAAATTAGCTTTGGAAAGAAAAGTCTCTTAATTATTATGTGTAAGGTTTGTAACAGAACCTGTGAGCTTGTGTTGAATAGTAATAAAAGCTGTTTAAAAATGTCTATAATTCTGCTTCTTTGGTCTCTTATTTTATACCCTCAGGGGAGATTCATTAGAAGTTGAAGCAACAATAAGGGTAATTCTTAGTTTTAATTTTTTGTTTGTTTGTGGTGCTCAAAATCAAACCCTGGGCCTCAAGCATGCTTGGCAGGTACTTTATCACTGAGCTATACCTCTAGTCCCTCAGTTTTAATTTTATGAAAATGGTAGTTCTCACTTATCATAAAGTGGCACATTTGTTGATGAGACATTTTAAAGTACAAAATAGTAAAAATAATATCTAAGGAAATACACTATTTTGGTATATAGCTTTCTAGTCTTTAGTTTTTATAAATTTATGTACATACATATATATACACATATATGTTTGTTTTGGTTTTGGGGGGGTACTGGGGATTGAACCCACTAAGCCACATCCCCAGTCCTATTTTGTATTTTATTTAGAGACAGGGTCTCACTGAGTTGCTTAGTGCCTGTTTGCTGAAGCTGGCTTTGAACTCAAGATTCTCTTGCCTCAGCCTCCCAGCTGCTGGGATTACAGGTATGCACCACTGTGCCCAGCTATATATTTGTTTTTATAAAAACATTTCATACATATTAGGTTTCTGTTTATTTCCCAGGATATTAATCTATAGTGTTCTTTTGTAAATGTAAAAAAAAAAAAAAATTATTGGGTTCTAATCATGTTACAGTGCTGTCCTAAATTCTTTATTTTTTTGTTCTTTTTGCGCATAACAGTAGAATGTATTTTACCTACATACGTGGGGTATAACTTCCCATTTTTGTGATTGTATATGATGTGGAGTTACCCTGGTCATGTATTCATATATGAACATAAGAAAGTTATGTTTGATTCATTCTACCTTTGCTAGTCACATCCTCCCTCTGTTCCCTTCATTCTCCTTTAGACAAAGGAGAATGAACTTCACAAAATCCAGTGAACTTCCATTCAGCCTTTGGTTTTTGGGATTGGCTTATTTCACTTATCATGATAGTCTCCAGTTTACAAATGCCATAATTTCATTCTTCTTTATGGGTGAGTAATATTCTATTGTGTGTATGTACCACATTTTCTTTATTCACATTCATCTGTTGACGGGCACCCAGGTTGGTTCCATAGCTTAACCCAAGTTCTTTATTTATGTTAAACCAGACCCTTTGGGGCCAGTGGCAGAGCACTTGCCTTGGTGCCTGAGACCTTGGTACCTAGCACCATTACTAAATAAATAAATAAAAAGACCCATTTTGTAAACAGGTACAGAGTAATTATCTTTTTCTAGGTTATATAGCTTTGATTAGCAGAGCTAGTATTTAAATATTGGCAGTTATAATTACTCTTTGTATTTTTATCATTTAAATTTGCAATAAATTGATTCCTCTACTTTTAGATTTTTAATTTTATTCCAATGTTTTGCTTTTATGCACAATGCTATAATGCTGGTGCTTTTGATTAAGTCTTTGTTGATAGCTATGATTATTCAGGATAAATTTAGGGAACTGCTGAGTCAAAAGGTATGTACTATTTTTTGTGGGGAACACAAGGGATTGACTCTGGGGTGCTTAACCTCTGAGGCACATCTCCAGCCCTTTTCATTTTTTGAGACAGGTCTCACTAAGTTGTTTAGGTCCTCGCTAAATTGCTGAGGCTGGCTTTGAACTTGCAATTTTCCTGCCTCAGCCTCCTGTGCTGGAATTATAGGTTTGTGCCACAGAACCTGGCTGGGTATGTACTATTCTAAGACTTCTGCCATGTATCACCAGTGTCTTCCAGAAATGTCCCAGTTTTCATTCCTACCAGCAGTAAATGAAGTTTCCAACACTAGGTTACCTGAAAATTCATTTTTCTCATTTGAAGATTAATAGTAATAAGTTTTAATTTTTAAAAAAATATTCCTTGGGGCTGAGGTTGTGGCTCAGTGGTAGCGCACATGGCTAGCATGCGTGAGGTACTGGGTTCGTACCACATACGTGCGTACCACATACAAATAAATAAAGATCCATCAAGAACTAAAAAATATTTTTAAAAATTCCATGCTCAGGTTTACATTTTGTAAATATTTATTGTACACACATGTGAATATTTTTTCCTTATTGTTCATCTTTTCCTTATTAATTTGTAAAGATCTCTTATATAATTTTTCCTATTTATCATTTGACTTATAACTTAATGGGTTTTTTTTAGTAAAATAAATATGGATTATTTTAATGTTTGTAGTAGAGTTTCTAATATTCTAGAGAGATTTCAGTTTACCAAAACTTAAAGGCCAGCCAGGCCTGGTGGCATGTGCCTGTAATCATAGCAACTTGGGAGGCTAAGGCAGGAGGATTATGAGTTTGAACTCAGCCTCAGCAATTTATCGAGTCCCTAAGCAACACAGCAAGATTCTGTCTCTAAATAAAATATATTTAAAAAGGCTGGGAATGTGGCTCTGTGGTTAAGTACCCCTGGATTCAATCCCTGGTACCAAAAAAAAAAAAAAAAAGATATAGGTCATTAAAAATTTTCGGGCTGGGTTTGTGGCTCAGTAGTAGAGTGCTTGCCTGGCATGTGTGTGAGGCGCTGGGTTCGATTCTCAGAATTACTGCATATAAATAAGTAAAATAAAGGTTCATCAACAATTTCAAAAATTTTTTTCATTTTCCATTTTATTCTGTAACTTCCACTTAGTTATTTCATTTGAACTATATTGGACAATTCACAATTCACTTTGGATCACAATTTTTTACTCAAAAGATAATAGAGCTGGGGGGTTTAGTTCAGTTGTAGGATGCTTGCCTAACATGTGAGACCCTGGGTTCAATCCCCAACACCACAAAAAGATGCAAGCAAAATGTTCAGCCAGGTGCTGTGGTTCTAGCTACACCAGAGGCTAAGGTAGAAAGATCACTTGAGCCCAGGAATTGGAGATCAGCTAGCATAATGTAGCAAGATCTGTCTCAAAAACAAACAAATGAAACAAACAAACAAAAAAATGAATGTGTGTGGTGCTGAACAATGAGTGCTGAACACTCATTGACTTGGGTGGCTGAGGCAGGAGGATCACAAGGTCAAGGCCAGTCTGGAAAACTTAACAAGACTGTCTCAAAACCAGTCAAAAGGATTGGACATGTGGTTGAGTATCCCTAAATTAATCTCCAGGACTGCAAACACACACACACACACACAAAAAAAAAAAAAAAAAAGGATGCTTTGTGCTACAAGTAACAGAAAACCCTCTTCAAAACTGCCTTAAACAGGTTTGAGGAAGGTGTTATCTTTACTAGAATGGTGTCCTGGGTTCCATCCCCAGCACTGATGATAAGTTCCAAAATGGGATGGCTTCCCAGTTTGCTAGCCAATTGTTTCATCTGGGATTATTTTCTTGGGCTTCCCCAGCATATTTGCAAAGTAGTTTCCCCCACTCTCTGTTATGACATATTGCAGTTAATAGCATATTAGCATAATGATTCAGGTAAGACCCTTTCTTTTGTAGCCTCCACCTTTATTCCCCCCCATTTTTTTTCATTTTTCAATTTTTTTTTTTATACCAAGGATTGAACCCAGGGGCACTTAACCACTGAGCCATATCCCCAGCCCATTTTTTTTTTATTTTTTTTTTAATGTTTATTTTTTAGTTTTCGGCGGACACAACATCTTTGTTTGTATGTGGTGCTGAGGATCCAACCCGGGCTGCACGCATGCCAGGCGAGCGCGCTACCGCTTGAGCCACATCCCCAGCCCCCGCAGCCCATTTTTTTTAATATTTATTTTTTAGTTTTTTGGCAGACACAACATCTTTATTTTATTTTTATGTGGGGCTGAGGATCGAACCCAGCGCCCCGCGCGCCCGCGCATGCAAGGCAAGCGCGTTACAGCTTAAGCCACATCCCCAGCCCTCCCCAGCCCATTTTTACTTTTAATTTTGAGACAGGGTTTCACTAAATTGCTGAGACTGGCTTTGAACTCGCAATCCTCCTGCCTCAGCCTCCTAAGCCACTGGGATTACAGGTGTGTATCACAGACCCCACCACCCCCCACATTCTTTTTTTTATTTTATTTTTTTTTAGTTGTCTTTATTTTATTTATATATGGTGTTGAGAATCGAACTCAGTGCCTTACACATGCTAGGCAAGTGCTTTACCACTGAGCCACAACTCCAGCTCAACCACTCCCATTCTAACCTCTACTCTTACTCCCTCTAACCTCTAGGCACCCACTCAGATAGATATCTTTGATATGTTTGTGATGCCTGTCTGATTTCCTTCTACTTTCCACTATCATAAGTAGTTAAGTGGGTGTGTAAAATTCACATAAATGATACTGCGCCATCATTTATGTTCCTATTATTTATTTTTGCACACTGCTGGCAGGCAAACCCAGTGTCTCACAGCTTGTAATCACTCTGCCTCTGAGCCACATCCCCAGTCTATTTTTTTTTCTTTTAAAAATTAATGTTTTTCCTGCCTGCACAGCAAATGATGCAATGTTTGTAAAACTGCTTTGACAGGAATAAAGTGTGTTTTTGCAAACTGTTAAAAAAAATTAATATTTTGAGCCGGGCATGGTGGCGCATGCCTGTAATCTCAGCACTTGGGAGGCTGAGTCAGGAGGATTGCGAGTTCAAAGTCAGCCTCAGCAACTGCGAGGCTAAGCAACTCAGTGAGACCCTGTCCCTAAATA